CTTTCTGATGCAACACAGGCCCACCTGCCCAGGGGCGGCACCACCCACAGTGAGCTAGGCCCTCCTACATCACTCAATAATCAAGAAGATACCCCACAGATATGGCCACAGGCCAGCCCAGTGGAGGCAATTCACCAATTGGGCCTCCCTCTACCCAGGTGTGTCAAGTTGAAAATTAAAGCTACCCAACAAACAGGATCTCTCGTTGAACCTAGAGCTCATTGATTTGGTTAGGAGGGCTGGTCAATGAGCTCCAAGCATCTGCCTCCCTTGCATGTGGCATGGCAGACAGTTAAGCCATCTACCCACCCCCATGAATCTACTTTGATGTCTGGAAAATGCTGATTAATCTTGAAAGAAAGAATAAGAATAAATATCAGTTCTTCACTTGTGTGAACTTTCTTCTGTATGGAGCAGATGTTGCTGCCCAGTGAGATGAGGACGACAGATTTCCATTTTGGTCTCTTTTCCTTTTCCGTTTCATTTTCCTTCCCCTCACCTGGCTCCCACTTTCCATTTTCTCTCTCCTCCCTTGTTTTCTCTCTCCTCCCTCCACGCTTCTCTCCTTCATCTCTTTACCTTTTTCCTCCTCTTCTCTTCCCTCTCATTCCGTCCTTTCTCCTGTTCCTCTTCTCTCCTTTCCCCTTTTCCTTCCCTCTCCCTCTGCTCTTTTATCTCCTGCTCTCAGGTCCCTTACTGAACCTGGAACTCGCTGTTTGGCCAGACTAGTGAGCCAACATCCAGGGTCCGCCCATCTGCCTCCAAGTGGGATTTCTAGTGGTGCCCCCATGACAGGCTTTTTACACGGCTGCTGGAGATCGAACTCAGTCTTCATGTTGCCCAGCCGTCGTTTTACCCACTGAGCTGCTCCCCACCTCCTCCTTCCCTTTTTTCTTTCTGTTTTTGGCCTTAGATGCAGGGTCTGGTTGTCGATCTGGAACTCGCTATGTAGCCTCAGGTGTGACTTTTTTTTTTTTTTTTAATCTTTAGGGTTTTTTTAAAAAAATATTATTTATTTTTAGTTTATGTGTGTGTGAGTGTATTGCCTGCATGTATGTGAGTGCACCCATATCGTGCAATGCAATGCTGCAGAGGTCAGAAGAGGGCTTCGGATTCCCCTGGAACTGGAGTTAAGGATGGATGGTAGCTGCCATGTGGGTGCTGGGAATTGAACCTGGGTCATCTGCAAGTGTAGTCAGTGCTCTTAACCGCTGAGCCATCTCCCCAGCCCCTACCTTTTGGTTTATATCTGGCCTTTCGGTCAGTAGATTGTACAGCAAAACAGTTTTCTCTTTAATCTCCTCTTTGGGGATAACTAGATACCCATCATCTGCTTATGTGAAGGGAGTTACTGACCCTGACCTTCCGTGGGTCTTCTACCAGGGAGTTATTGAATATTTGCAATGAGTAGTATCTACTGGACTGTAGATACTGACCCCCTAGCATACCATTTGTCTTAGATGAAACTGATATATGTGTCTAGGACATAGATAACTGCAGAGGGCCTTTCTTTCTCTTTCTTCCTGCTTACCATCCCCTGTTGCACAAACACAAATTGTTTCTTCATAAATAAACATGACTTGAGCCACGTGTGGTGGTCCACACCTTTATTCCCTGCACTGCGGAGGCAGGGGCAAGCAGATCCCTGAGATCAAGGCCCGTCTAGTCTACATGGTGAGTTCAGGCCTGCAGGGGCTACAGGGAGACCATGATTCAAAGAACAAAAAAATTAAATAAATAAACATGACTTAATTTACTTTTTTGAACACTCTGTATACCATGTAGGAAGTGGGCTGACCTGTGTTAGGGATAATTATCAAGGTTTGCTGATGATTCTGTAGTAGATGACTGTAATAAGCTGCTAGATGGAGGAGCTGCCTCGTAGAAGAGACCACTCTGCTATTTCTTCTCTTATAAAGACACGGATCTCACCATGGGTGTTTTCCTCTCATGACCTCACTTAAAACTAACTCCCAAAAGATAAACATCCCAACATATCACATTGTGAGTCATTATCAACGTGTTGGATTTTAGAGAACACAGCAACCATTTTCTGATCTCTCCTGACAGAGCCGGCTTGCTCTATGTGCTGACGATCTTCCAGTGTATCAAAAGTGAGTCCGTAAGGAGGCTCTTTGTGGTTGAGAAGAAGCGCTTTCTGTGAGTATCTCTGCTCCAGGAGTAGGCATCAGAAGTTGGTGATCAAATTGGGCACATTCAGATTTGGGCCTAGGATGTGATCTCGTGGATTACTAGTGGGGTTTTCTTTTTCATTTTTTATTGGTTTATATTGAAATATATAAATTTTGTGTAAATATGTACATCATGAGTTTTTGAAGAATGTATAAATATTACTGATACTGAGAAAAAGAAGTCATGGGCCAGATGGGAAATCAAGAACATGTGATACTTGCTACTCGGGGAAAGTTTCAAAGTTGAGGCTTGATTGGCAATCTCAGTCCTACAGAGAAAGCATCAGTAAAGGGGCTAAAAAAGTATCTTTTGCTTTTTAGCAAATAACACGTTCACGATAATTCTCCAAAAAAAAAACTGCAGGAGGTTGATAGAAATTTAAGTGTAGTAGGTTTGGCAGAAAGTTGAATTTGGAGAGATAAAATGACCGTGAATAAGAGCAAATTTAGCCCTCTTGAATGGAGGGGTGGAAAGAACCAGAGGGGGAGTTTTCAGTAAAGAACTGTTTTATCTCTTCTGAAAATGGAAGAATTTCTTCCCCTGTGGTTAGGACTTGACACTTTCGAAATCAGAAGAGATTTTTCAGTAAGAAAGTACATCCTAAGTACGGAATGATCAGAGAGTGGGGCTGAGGATAGACCTTAGTGCTTGCTTCGCATGCATGAAACCCTGAGTTATGTCCACAGTACCACATAAACCCAGGCATGGTGGCATGCCTATAATCCCAGCACTCAGGAGGTAGAGCAGGAAGATGGCCAGTTTGACAGCATAGGGAGTTCAAGGCCAACCTGGACAAGAGACCCTTTCTCAAAAAAGAAAAAAAAAAAAGGAATTAATCAGAAAGGCAGTGGCTGAGAGAAAGCTGTCAGGAGGATTAGGATGTAGGAGCTGACAGGATTGTGTGTTTGTAAAGTGTGATCATGGAAGGAAGTATTCTCTTTCTGTAAAGTCAGAGCAGGAGAAGTAAAGTCTGTAGTGACCTGGAGCTGCAGTGCAGTTTCAGGAATATGACAGTGTCACCTTCTTCATAAGAGGTGGGAGGAGAAAAGCCTCTGTGATCACTGACTGACATGAACCCCTGAAGAGCTGCTCTTTAGAGAGCCAAGTCAGAGGAGCAGAGTCACTGAGGAGAGGGAAGACATCAGGCTCCGTTTCCCTGGGGTCCGTCCTGTGGCCAGAGTGGACGACACAGGAGAGATTTCTGTCATGAGAGAGGAAAACTGTGAGAGTGTCATGAGGCCAATAGCCCTAGGATACTGGCCTCTGAGATGGGGAAGGACTTGGGTTCAGCCTTGGGCCTGAAGGGCACTGTGCTGTTGGACTCCTGGTGGCAGCAGAAGTCAGTGCAGCTGGAGTCTCATCTGTGCCTTCTAGACTAATCTAGGATGTAAGATGTGGATTTTTTTTTTTTTCTATAGACATGAGCATACCAGTGGATACTACAGAGAGTTACCGTATTTCTTTGGAAAACTGATATCTGAGTTGGTCCCCATGAGGTTGTTGCCAAGTATTTTATTTACTTTTATATCATACAGCATAGCAGGTAAGTACCTAGATAGAAAGATTTGTCTTCAGTCTTGGGTATGAGGTGAAGTGTGTTTTGGTTCATAGAGCTGTCAAGGAAGCCCACAGCGGGTCCCACTGTGCGCTCTGAAACACCTGTCCAGTGTGGGTATTGTCACCAGGATTTGTTCCCAGCAGAACTAAAAAGCTTTATGAAACTGTGTTTTTACTGGAAGACTCTTATACAAACATAGAAATAGCTTATAAGTCTGAGACTGTGCGTGCACACACATGCACACACACACACACACACACACACACACACACACACACCATGTAAAT